TTGTGTTGTGTTGTGTTGTGTTGTGTTGTGTTGTGTTGTGTTGTGTTTGTTATATTATACTATGCTATTTTATGTTATGTTATATTTTGTTATGTTATATTATGTTATGTTATGATATGATATGTTATGTTGTGTTGTGTAGTATTGTGGTGTGATGTGTTGAGCGCTGCCAAAAAAAAAAAACACCAACTAGGTATATAACGGACAGCCTAATACATAGGTATACAACACCTGTAAAGGACGAGCTAGTCACTAAAGTTTAGCAATTAATTTGTTTGGTTGTTGTTTAACCATTTATTTATCTGTAAAAGGGGCATGCTTACATATTTGTAAACAAATCAAAGACTGATTCAGTCTTAATCAGCTAAATGTGCATGTTTCATCTTACATGCAGAAGCGGTTATTCATACATACATACATTCCTTACATATGTGGAATGCGTGTGTGCTTGGAATGATGTATTTGGCTTCTTATGATTACGGGTGATTCCAAATCAATTGGCAAGCACATAGGTTCTATGCCACTCTGCTGCCACATTGATTTGATTAATTAAGTATGCATATACATATGTATGTAGGTACATAGGTATGTAGGCTCATATATGGTATACAATTTTGTGGAAGAACACCAAAGGAATACGAATTGATGAATGCCATAAATCACAAGCCATTACGCGATTGTCTTTTGGATTTGTGTTGGAATGGTCGTGCGCTTTTCTTATCATGTGTCTTTTGTATTTGTATACAGTTCATTAATTAACTGTTTATCAAAAAGCAGCGATTCAAAAGGATATGCTGTGGTTGCCACAAATCAACTATCTTTACTAAATGCTTTATGATCTTATTTCAACCGAAGTATTTTTTTTTGTCAAATAATATAAAGTCATTAATTATATTATATGTGTCCTGCTATTTCAAAAGAATGATTCAACGACAGTTTACCGATTTTTTTGTTGCAAATAGGTTACTAAAACTAGTTATAACTAAATAATAAAAATAAAATAAAATGCGTTTGTCAATGTAACGGGATGTACATAGCTCAGTGGTTAACGCTTCTGACTTTGAACATCGAATTCGCAGGTTCAGGGATCGAAGTCAGGGATCTGAAGTCTAGAAAAAAGAAGTCTGATGAGGAGATGTGGTGATCTCCGAAATAGTGCTATAACTTCTACCGCTAAGACTTTGTTGCCTTTTCGATTTTTCCTAATAAACAATCGTGGTACAAAGCTCAATAAAAATATTAAAAATAAAATGCGTTTTACCATTCAGGGCTGCCAACTGTATTTAGCTTTGGAGTGCCATATTGAGAATAAAAAAGTTCCAAAAAGGTGCCATTCTTTTTAATTCTTACCATTCAGCATTAAGATTAGACACACATCCATAAAACAAAAGTTCAATGCAAAAGTAAGATAAACAGTTGTATACATACACTGTTAAAAATTTTAGTCGAGAAATGTATTGAAATATTATTATTTTTCAAAAGTGCCTTTTTGGCACTTTGTGCCAAGTTGAAAAATTATGTGCCATTTGATGTAAAAAATAGGGGAAAAATGGCACGGTTTGTGCCAAGTTGGCAGCCCTTGTACCATTATGAAATTGTAGCGTAGTTCGTCTAGCGGTGTCTTTTTTGAAACTCTTACTTTCTACAGAGCTTATAAAATTTAAGAACTGCTAACAAATACATGGCTTGGTTGTGCCTTAAAAGTACTTATTTATAAATATGAAGGGAGATTTTCAAACAAATTTTCGATTTATGAAACATTCATAATTTTTTATAAATGTGCTACTTACTCGGCTTTCTCCTAAAAATTTATAATTTATAATCTTATAACTCGTGTCTACATACCGCGTACTTTCTTCAAAAGTGTACTAATTCAATATTTACCTCATCTTATCAATTTAACTAAATTAGGTTTTTCAACCGCTTCAAAAATATTTTCGACAGTAAAATTTCTTAAACCTCTTTAACTTAACACCAGAATTGTAATATTTCATTTATTTTATCAATTTAAATGAATAAAATTTTTCAAATATGTGGCAACCCCCCTTAAAAATATTCCCGGCAGTAAACTTTCCTAAACTTGTTTATCTTATTAATTACAATAAATAAAAATTTTCAAACAGATAGCACCGTTCCCCAAATGCTTTTTCGGCTCTGAGCCTTCTGAAACCTCTTTCTTTTGACAGCCATATTGCAATATTTAATTTATCTTATCAATTTAGAAAAATCAACTGTTTCTTCTATATTTTAAGTTATACCTCAAGAAAAAGCGGAGCGGAGCAAATGAGCAAGGAGCTAACAGGATTTTGGCTGGAGCGGAGCTGGGGCAAAGAGCTGCAAAAATTCATTTGCTCCTTAGCTCCTTAAAGAAAATTTAATTTACTCTTTGCTTGTGCCACTGAAAACAAGCATGTTAAATAAAATCATCTGTGAAGTGCAGAAGGAAAGAAAAAATCTCAAAAAAAAAACAGTCAAAAACGTATCTGTTTCGTAACAATTTTCGGTTCTTGTCTGTACATATGTACATTTCAGCCACACACTTTGGCGGAAAAAACGGATCGTCAAAGTGTCCGAAAATGGAATCGGTAAACGGAAAAAATCCATATTTCATCCACTTTTTTCCTTTTTTCGGATCCATTTTCGGATTTTCTGCTGCCATTTCATTTAAAAAATACATGTAAGTAAGTAACTACCTGTGCATATGTACATATCTATGCATCAAAAAGAAAAAAAAAGAAATGTCAGCTTATTTATTGGCGGTTAGGACTCGATATGTACTAAGTAATTAAATATATATAAAAGTTTCTTTTATTGGGACCGGGAGCGAAATAAAAACAGGAGCGGAGCTAGAGGGGAGCGATGAAAAAAAAACCTTTGCTCCGAAGCTCTGGTTTAAAGTTATATTGAGTTTATTCTGCTGATTAGCAGTGTATATATTTTATTGACTTAGGGCCATATTCTCAATGTCTTGTTAACACTAATATCCGCTCAAACATCGTTATCGACGTTACTGAGGCCATGCTTATAACACTTTGTAGGTAAAGTTGGCAACGATGTTTAACTGGGGATTAGTGTTAACCAGAAATTGAGAAACTGGTCCTTACGGCAGTTTTCACGACTGCCTGCTAAAAATTGATGACCGATATGCTTTATCGACTTTACATCGATTGCCTGTTATAAGTAGGTGAGCGAAAAATTCGCCAGCTAGTCAACGGTCAACGGTTATCTTTAACAGGCAGTCTAGAAAACGGCCTTTAAAATTCAGTTTGTTTTTTCAAATACTCTTTAAGGTTTCCGCACTCCTCTTACTACTTTTAAATGATCTCTCAGCATGTCTTAAAATCAACATTCGTTACCATATGAAATTTAGGTGAAAGACTGTGAATCAAATAGAAGTTAAATATTAATTTTCATAGGAAAATACAGATATTAAATTTTGACATATTTTTTAAAAATACATATTTATGCATGTACCTTTTGTTCAATATTACCTCTAACAGTACTAGCAATCATTTGTGGATTATAGTTGCCCAAAAAATTACTGATCAAAGAAAAGATATTAAGAGGGGTAGTCAAGAAATGTCCCTTAAAATAAAGAACACATTATAAAGCAACCTGTGTTTTCGGCATTTCCTCAATTGATTAGGTTGTTAATGACAAAATAGAAAATGGTTAAGGTTAAAAAATTCGAAGGAACGTCTGTATGTAATATCAATATCGAAATTTTTGTATGGGGCACCCATTTATTGAAACTTATTCATATGACTTCGTGATTTTGATATTTCAAAGGCTGCCCTAGTTTATATGTATGTATGTATGTATGTGTGCACATTAAGGTGGTCCAAAATGAATGTGAAAAAGTAAAGTCGAAATTTGTATGCCTCTCCCCCTAGGAAAAAATATACGCCATTTTTTTTTTTTTTGAAATCAAAAAATATTTAGAGGTCGCTCAAAGCACCCAAAGTTTTCCATGAATTTTACATGGGAAAAACAACATTTTGTAGAAATGGGATAGAATTCTTAAAAATCAAAATTTTTCTATCGGAAAACTCTGTTCATCTGCAGGAGCTTCTAAGTAATAATACCCAATTGTTCATTTAATCATTTTTTCATCGGAACTATAATTTATAGGTCCGCCATAAATCCACAAAAACCCCGAAAAATGCAATGGGGGACCAATAAAAAAAAGTTAGTATTAAAAAATGGTTAAATAAACAATTGGGTATTCATTTTGAAAGTCTTCTCCTAAAGAGCATTACAATTCCGACGTAACTGTTTTTGGACCACCCTAATGCACATACATATGTACCATCAGCGATATATATATACATACATATATAGTACTTATTACCTTAATTTCATTCATTCATGCATTATACTTACCATTTTCCATTCATTGCTTTCCAGATATGTGCAAATTGCAAAAACGAGGTTAAAATACGACTCATGTGCGTTCTTTTACTCTCTGTGAGGATTAAATATTGAAATCGTTTTATTGAGGAAGTTTCGCATTAACATACTTAAATATGGATGAGTTTCCCGTTGTGCATATACCAGAAGATGATGTGCTCGAAGAGGAGGAGTTTGGTAAGTGCAAGTATTTCTATGTTCGTATAACAAATAGGTAATGTTAATGTTTTTTTTAGAAGGCTATACGCATTTGGTTTAGCAACAGAACTGGTATCTTATTAGCCTGTTCGCAGTCGTATAGCCAGGATTTTATGAAGGGGAGTGGGGAATGAGTGATGACTAATGACTTATGACTAGCTTATAACTAATGACTAATGACTAGTGAATAATGACAAGTGGCTTATAAGTAATGACTAACGACTAATAACTGAAGGCTAATGACGTAGCGAATGATTATAATTTTTCATAAATGTCCTTTAAGAAATTAGGAAAAACATAAATTTTTTACTAAAAACTAAAAAATGTTGTCAAACTCAACGCCAAGAACTCTGACTACGTCAAATCAAATGATTAAATATGGCATTGTGGAGGAAGAAATTTTCCACATATCTGTGGGATGTACTACGCTGCGATTTGTCACTTTTGCGTAATCGTTTGGTAATTTCAATGATTTATTTTGCCTTATTTTCTCATATTTATTATATAATTTTATTAGTGCATACCTATAAATGAATTTATGTGGTAAGTTGCACAGCTGCACATACGAAAAAAAGAGATATGCTAAACAATTTATTATTATTATATTTTGTTTTTAAACAGGAACATTTAGCACCCGTTTTTTGTATAAAGAAATAATTGCACTCTATGCTATTTTGCTTTTGGCAGAAATGTGGTTATTTAATGCGTCAATTTAATTTATTGTTGGTTAATTGCATATTGAGAAACAAAAGTAAGCGTGTGTGCCGCTCTATTTCGTGTTTTATTATAGCATTTTAAAATTAAATTAAATCTTTTATTATTAGGCGAAACTTTATTCAAATTAAATGAAGCTATTTGCAGATTCAGTGAAACTTTATTCAAATTAAAATTAATTTATTTTCAAATTAGTTTAAACATTATTAATTTACATATTATACTCAAAAATTGTACTCAGCTTGACAACAATAATTACATTTTGGTAGAAGTTATTGCTGCTCTTGATTGTAGTTGGATTTTATATATGAAAAAAGTGGATAAAAGCAACAAAAGTTTACGTGGCGAAGTTAGCTCAGTGGGTAAATAGACCATTGGCTTTGTGATTCGCGGTCGCTGGTTCATATTTCAGTGACCGCGGTTGAAGAAGTCTGATAAGGAGATCATCTCTTGTAATCTAACGAACAGCCCACATTTTTTAATTTTTCGCACAGGCTGCAACCCCCTTCGAAAAATAAAACCTTACTGCAAATCTAAAGTCCAAGCCTTTTCATTTGACACCTAATTTTTATTTTTTTAAATTGAATGAACTTTGCAAGCCATTAGCAAAAAATACCCTCCCGAATTATATATACATAATTTTTAAATAGGTGGCAACCCCTCTTAAACAAAAAATAAAAACTTATTTCACATGCATAGACCATATCCGTTCACTTGGTACCTCAGTTTTTGGTCCAACAAACGGTGAAGATCTTTTATTTTTAATTTTTAAAAAGGGGCAACCCTATTCAAAATGTAATACATTATAGAACATCATAAATGCCGAGCCCTTTTATTTGACACCTCATTTCTTGTAATCCAACGAACAGTGCGGATGTAATAATATTTTAGACAGCTGGCAATCCTATAGTAATTTAAGCTACTAAAGATGATATTCCTATCGATACAGATTATACTTAAAAAATCTCGTTTAGTGAGATTAGCGTGTTCAAAGAATCTCGCCTTTCTTTTAAACTATGTATAGAAGATTGTAATTTTTAAATAGGTGGAACCCTACTAAAAAAATAAGAGTTTTTGTACAGGCGAAGGCCATTTCATTTGATATCTCATTTTGTAATCCAACGAGCGGCGAAAATCTTTTTACTTTTTAATAGGTGGCAACCCTACTCAGAAAAATAGTCCATTATTGCACATCTAGAAGCCAAGGCTTTACGTTTGACTGAGACGGCGCAGAACTGATGGCTACGCTTATTATGATTGTATATAGTAATTTTATCAACAGGTGGCAACCCCATTAAAAAAAAATAAAACATTTGTGCTTTTCTAGAGGCCCATCCGATGGTCCGATGTTTGTAAGTACCAGAAAAAGGAGAGATAGACCCATTAAAATGTATACTTAAATGATCAGAACGTCGAGCTGAGTCGATTTAACCATGTCCGTCTCTCTGTCTGTCCGTCTGTCTGTCTGTCCGTCTGTCCGTCTGTTTGTATGCAATCTAATCTCTCAGTTTTCGAGATATCCGGATGAAATTTGGTAGGTGGGTGTATTTTTATAATGTATTAATCATTTGTCGGAAGCGGAAGAATCGGAGCACTATAGCATATAGCATCCATACAACTGATTGTTCAGATATGTGATTTTTCGTTATAACTTCTTCATTTATGCAGCTACGAACATGAAATTTTGCAATACTTGCACCCATTATCAACAGAATACTTAGTGTGAAAATTACAAAGATCGGGTCACTAGAACTTATAGCTTCCATACAACTGATTTTTCAGATATAGGATTTTTCGTTCCTCCATTTAAGTAGCTAGGAACATGGCATTTTTTCACTCATTATCAATAGAAAGTTTACAGTAAAATTAATAGAGATCGGGTCACTATAACTTATTTATTACCTCCATACAACTGATTGTTCAGATATGGGGTTTTACTGTAAAACTCCTTATTTGGACAGATAAAACCGATAAATTTCTTAAGCTATTTTATAAATAATAATACAAAGTCTAATTAAAAAAAACGTCAAAATCTATGCCGTATAAGCTTTATCTCTTACACCACTGATTGTTTAGATACCAGTTTTTGCGATATATCTCTTTTATGTAGGAAGCTAAACCTATTAAATTGTGTTACCGGTTTACATACCGATCACACAGCAGTTAAAATCACTTCGATTGGTGCTATATAAGGTATATCTTCCATACCTCTGATTGTATAGATACGATTTTTTATGTATATGTATCTCCTCTATCTATGTATGCTGTGAATATATAATTTTTTTCAAACGCAGTAATCTGTTAAAGTAAAATTTTCAGATGTTCACGAAAGGTATGAAGCCCTCGGCATAGCCTTCGTTCCCAGTTACCATCAGCCAGTCAAATTACTAACTCGCTTTGCATCGGACCCTGTAAGCTACTTTCCTTAACGCACAGAGGCGCACCACGCGTCTTTGTTGCAATTAAGCTGTCGAACGCACGTAAATTACGCTTAAAGCAGAGTTTTCCCATCTATTACAACGTGATCAATTTGGTTTTTCATTCTTGGACCAGGGGACCAAAAGAATTTGTGGATATTTTGATGTTGTACCTGATATTAATATTAATTCCCATATCGATGAGTCAATCTCCGTTTTCAAAATTATTGACATGAAGATTGAATTTTCCGACTAAAGAAATAACCAAATATGCCTACCTTGTCTATCATGGAATTGAATTCGCCAAATGCGATTTCATCTCGATTTGATCTCGATGTCCCCTTCCCTCCGCCCTAGTGTGCGCACAAATAAATCTAAAGTGCTAAAGTATAGCAATACACTCTCTGATGGCGGTGGACTAGGAGACAAGATGTCGTAATTTCCGCCTAACCAAAAATGCCTAACCACCAAATTTGTGCGCTGTCTAGTGGCATATCAATTGCATTTCTTGTACTGCGGTGATGTAAGCTCTGTTATATGATTAATGACCTAGCGAGCTAAATAAAGATACAGGAAATATCCTACCAACTAAATAGGTTGCTGAATGAATTCATACGTGATTTGAATGGCTAATGACATTATGTCAGTGTTTGTAACTGGCGATGTGATCGTAATATATATCTACTAAATAGTAAATAAACTGTGTTTTTTTTCTTTTTTAATGAAAGTTACCACAGAAATAATGGAGTAGCACGTGTCGTAACCTGCTGTAGTAAGAAGATTTTCAAATTGCTAACTTCCAGGAAAACTTCAAAATTCTGATCGATTACATTTACATTTCATATGAACATACATACATAATTAAAATACAAAACGGAATCGCATGCTGATTTTATTTTTCATTCTTTTCAGAACGTCTTTACTCCGCACCACTCGAAATTATCATCCTCCTTTCCATTTTCTATGGTAGCATAAGTATTTTAGCTGTCATTGGCAACTCGCTGGTTATATGGGTGGTGATTACAACGAGACAAATGCGTACCGTTACCAATACATATATAGCGAATTTAGCCGTTGCCGACGTAATCATTGGACTTTTCTGTATTCCATTTCAGGTACGTATTTACACTAAGCTGAGACATTAATAAACACATAGCTTATATGGATAGTGTATGTATACTAGGGTGGTTCACAAAAGTAAAGTCGGAATTTTAATTTTGTTCCATTTCGAAAAAAATATACCCGAATTTTTTATTTAGAAATTAACAAACATCCCAACAAAGGTCCCTTAAAGCGCTCAAAGTTTTCCCATTTTTATATGAGAAAAGAAAAAAATAACTTTTCACAGAAATGTTATAGAATTCTTGAAAATCAATATTTTCGGAAGACTGTTTTTTTTCAGAAGATTTATTTTGCAATTATTTAATACTAATGATTTTTAACGGGTCCCTTCCTTGAATTTTTTGGGGGACCTATAAAAAATATTTAATCACAAAAGATGGTTAAATAAACAATTTTTTATTTTAACTAGATGTCTCCTGAAGAGAAACAGTGTTTTGCCGATCAAAAAATATTAATTTTAAAGAATTCTATACAATTTTTCGAAAGCCGTTTCTCCCTATATAAAATACGCAGAAAACTTTGAGCGACCTCTAAACATTTTTTGATTTAAAAATAAAAAATGGGTATATTTTTCGGTATAGAATCATCCAACGGGACGAAGATATAAAAATTCCGACTTTACTTTTTCACATGCATTTTTCGACCCCCTAATGTACACAGTAAACACAAACAGGGAGTAAATTGAAACACCCTCGGGCACGTGTAGGTAAATACGGCAAATTTGTAAGTATGTAGGATGTGGCTGTGTAGTTTCCAAGGTGGAAAAATATTGAAGAAAAACCTTACCTTATTTTCGAACGTGAGTTAATATAAAAAAGCTCAAATACGCACGCCTTATTATGTGTATGCCCGAATTTATGTAAGCGAATATACATACATACATACATACATACATGCTATTTATTGCCCAAAAACCTGTTACATTTTTTCCAACTTAGTTCTGCAATAAAACGCCTGAGGTTGAAACATAATATTTATAGTAAAACATTAGCTATAATATTTATGAAAGGTGTAATAATAGCTTCTGATTGATGGTAAAATGTAGTTACATTTGGCAGGACACACATTAGATGATTCAAATTTATGTTGCTATTTGTATATATATATACATATACATACATACAAACGAACTTATATTTGGTGGCAAGTTAAAACAACTTAATATTTTTATATTAAATATGGACAATTGAGTAGTAAATAAAAAACAAATCAAGCATACAGGCCTTTCCCCGTTTATAATCTAAACTCGAATTTAATTGTTTATACTTGTTGGCTCAGTTACATATACATATAGCTTAGACACACTTGCGCTCAGCTGATTAAGTTAAGTAAAATGTTGACCAGTTTTGGCTATTTTTCTGAAAACTTCGAAGTATCTATTTTTATGGACGGCTCAAAAATGGATTGTGGCGTAGGGGCGGACATTTTTTCAACCGACCTCCAAATCGAAGAGTGTATTCGACTACCGAATTTGGCCAGTGCTTTTCAGGCAGAGGTCTTTGTCGTCAAAAGGTGGCTAATAGCAGGTGCAAAGACCGACAATCCTGTGGGGTCTGCAGGAGTATGTAGTGCAAAACACACCGCATTTCTCATAACACTGAACAGGAGGGATTTATCTCGTTTAATTGCCGTTTACACAGGGAACTGGCTCATGGGAATCCATGCTGCAAGACTAGTACTCGAACACAACATTTCTTGTCGTAGTTGTAATTCGCGAGATGCAGAAGAGAGGGTGGAGCATATGCTCTGTATTTTGCCAGCACTATTTAGGACTAGAATCAGGCATCTAGGCGAACTCTAATCTAAACTCTCTAAATAAATATAAATTATATTAACCCACTTCAACTTCTTTAGTTCTTGAACTCCACATGCTGGATTTAAAAGACTTCTGCTGCTTTCTTTTCGGGGTTAATTGCGAGTAGCGTTAATTGGAGTTACTTAACCAACAAACCAACCGAGATCAGTTAAAGGTTTTGTCAAAAAAAAAGAAAATGCCAAAAATTTAAATGCAATTGAACAATATACATATGTATGTATTACACACAGAGGCCAAATCAATACAAGTTTTTTTGGAAAAAATTATTTCAGGCGTCTAACCATTAGGAAATGAATAAGAGATACTTTTTTAATTTCTTAATACATTTTTTTGGGGTTTGTTATTTATGGCCTTATAACAATTGTATTCACCAATTTTTATTAAGCGTGAGTCCGTTTTTTTAATGAAAAACTATTGTGTAAAAGCAACAACAATTTGAAAAAATAGTAGAAGTGATAGCTATTTCGGAAATCACCACATTTCCTCATCAGACTTCTTCAGCGGGATTCGAACCGACGACCCCAGGTGAGTCAGCCTGTTTTTATTAAAAAAAAAATTACTTAAATTTAGGGGAATGTGTATTTTAAATTGCCACATTTTCAGATGCCCATTTAAAAAGCTAGAACAACAAATTACTCTTTTTAAAAAGCGTAAATAAGTAGTGAAATACGGATATCAGCTAAAAAAATAAAAATAAACAAATAAAAGCCCGCATTGCTCAAAAGTGTCCACTTAGAAAAAATTCAACCATAAATTGGTTAATATTACTAAATTCAAACTTCAAAATGAATCAAAGTGATTTTTGCTTAATATTAACAATGCCTTGGTTGATAATTTCAACAATGATTTGGTAATATTAACCCAATTTTTTAACATTAGAAAAATTTCTGGTTGCCGATTTTTTTGTTAGAATGCGTTTATGTTCTTCTGCACTTCACAGATGCTTTTTCAGAATCCGGAGATACAAAACCAAAGTTAGGCAATAACTGCAAATATCTCTGCACACTTAGCCCGTAGCCGTTCTGTCATTTTGCCCTCAAATTTTGAACTTGAATAAACTTTCTTCGCCGTTTGATCGCGATATGCACTTCACAGATGCTTTTTCGTAACTAAGAACAAAACAAAAAAAGACAAAACAAAAAATTTAATTTCGATCTGGCATCTCTAGTCGGAAGTGATTTTTTATGGATATCTTGAAAATCTTAGGGTAAAGAAGAATTTTAAACGCCGTGACTTAAACTAACAGACAATTTCTACACAAAACTATTTTTATCTAATCATTAAATATATAAATTTAGAAAGAAAATTCATGAAAACGGAATATTTTTATGAAAATGTCACCTTATAAAACCCTTTAAATTCAATTTTGAAAGTTTTAACCGTTTACTTCAGAAATCTGTGTAATTAATTGAAAAAATCCCTCACATATATGATGAATCTTATCAGTACAGTAATGCCACTTGAAACATTTTGTTTACAAATTTCCACTTTCAGTTTCAGGCTGCTCTACTACAACGCTGGAATTTACCTTGGTTTATGTGCGGATTTTGTCCCTTCGTTCAAACATTGAGCGTAAATGCGTCCGTGTTTACTTTGACCGCCATTGCGATCGATCGACATCGCGCAATCATCAATCCTCTGAGGTAAGATAATTTTCTTAAGTAAAAATAAAAATTTAAATATTTTCAAGATGTGTATATAGGGTATTATATAATAAAAGTAACAACAACTCATAGCATACGTACTTACTACATGCATTACTGCTTCCAAGCTTAAGTATTTACATACAAAACTCAATTTACTAAAGTCTTTGAGAATACATACAGCCCCCATATAAATATTTATTGCTCATACGCAGAGTCATACTATGTATTTGGCATCCATTTGCGTGCTTGCTGTATTTGATACACTTGTTAAGAGAGCATTAAATTTTAATTTGAGAATGTGCACTGGTGGTTTGTGATGCAGTGAAACTTTACGCAAACAGAAACTGCGTGTAACAAGTTTCTTTGATTTGCTTATAAGTACATATGTACATATGTAGTTACTATACAGCAATTCGAAATTGACTAACGAACATGAAAAGTTAATAAACAATTCGTAAAAGCAATTGAATTGAGTAAAAGCCAAATAGTTACAAAAATATCAATCACCTTTGACTGCGTAAAGACTACTTTATTTGAATCTAATTTCTTTACTTAGATGAAAAATTTATTTTAAATAAATTTTGCTTTGTTGGTGTTTGTACATTAGAGAGGTTCAAAAATGCATAAAGAAAAGATAAAGTGCGAATTTTAATGCTCTATATCGAAAAAATATACTCCCGTTTTTTTTTTTCGAAATCAAAAAATACTTTGGGTTCGCTCAAAGCGCTTAAAATTTTCTAAATATTTTATATCGCAAAAATTATCTAAATAAACTGTTGCGTGAATAAAGAAAAATTTACCAAATGCTTTCCTTTTATTTACCACCAACAATTTTCATTCCGATAGTTTGCGAAATTTTTGTATGAATATATACAAATTTAAAACTCACAAGCACTTAGTAGTCTTTAAAAAATATTTATGCATATACGTATGTAGCTTTCATACTTACATTAAATAATTTCATTTTCCACCTCCACAGAGCACGTCCCTCCAAACTATTTTCGAAATTCATTATACTTGGAATTTGGGTGGTGGCGCTCTTTTTCGCCACCCCCTCTGGCATTGCCTTTCGTGTTGAGTTGATGTACGAGCGCTACAGGGGTAAGTAGATGTATGTATGTATGTGTGCTTATTACTTTCTCGTGTACTCGTATGTATGTAGGCACAAAGTGTTGTTTCCCCTACCTTCTGGTATTTAATAATCCATTTTTTGCTCCTTTTTGTTTTGTCTATTTTCTCCAATTTTTTGTTGAATGCGCCCAAATAAGAGGACAATGTCATCTACAATGTTACCCGCCCCTTCTGTATGAATGTCAATCTTTCGGATGAACAGTTGAGAGTTTATCGTTATGTGCTGGTGGTTGTACAGTATTTGGTGCCATTCTGTGTTATAGCATTCGTGTACGTACAGATGGCGCTTAAGCTGTGGCTTACAAGAACGCCGGGAAATGCGGAGGATACGCGTGACATGGCATTAATGCGAAATAAGAAGAAAGTAAGTACAAGAATAATTAATGTGCCGAAATGTCTATGGCTTCTATTAGATACATACATACATATGTATGTGCAGATGTATGTATGTATGAACATAAGGGTGCCTCACGAAAAAACCAGCTGCTTCCGCAAGTGACACATTAAATTTGGCGAATTTATGCTGCCTGCCACTTGATTCATTCGGGGTTGCGCGTTGGTGACGATATCTTTAGAAATCGTGCTATGTATGATTTAAAATTTTTTTTTTAGCTGAATATCCGCGGTGTTAGACAAATGAGCTTACTTTATAATCGATTTGAATAAAATTAAAGTTATCAATACGCTAAATTATAATTGGGGTTTTTTTTAGTAAAAATTCTATTCATTTCCATGGAAATTCGCTCATATCTCAGTATTTTCAACGCCTGCCAGCTTCTTAGCGACGCTGAGCTCAATCGAAATATTTTATTTGGAGTTAAAAAATTCATGACGTTTTCGTATGGAGCGTGAGGCAGTCTAATGTTAACACAGTGACTCAAACAAGTGACCACGTGTTGATTTTTTAACTTAATTTCTTTTTGTTATTTTTTTATAAAAATTTTGTTAAAGCTTTAAAAAAATTCTTATAAATAAAAGTGTCAAACTTTATACACAATTTAGGAAAATTCATCAAAATTCTAAATTTTTTAATCTGATTCTTTAGAACATTTCTGGGTCTGCAGTTTTGTTGCCCATAAAATTTTAGTGTGATAATGTGCAAATTTTAGTGGCTAAAAAATTGCGTTGATTTTTAATATTTGTTTTTTTTTTTTGCTAACGGATTTTTGCACTTTTTTCAATATAAGCATGAATTTCTTATGAAATAAAATGCCGGAAACCGTTCGCAACAAAATTTCATAAAATCAACGCCAGTATTTGTAAATTGCACTCCTTATATACAAAAAGAAAAAAAACAGAAAAAGTAATCACAAAAAAAAATATATATATTATTAAAAACTAACGCGATTTTTAGCGGATTGAAACTTGCACTTCATTAAAGTTATGCAAGACTTAGACTTGACTTGACTTACCTAGAAACTTAGAAACGATTACTCAGCGTGTCACCTATTACCTTTTCTTTTTATTTTGAATATCGGCACTTGTATTTGTACACCTAAATTGCAAACGTTTAATTTGTCTTTACAACAGAATGAATACAAAATTACCAGTAACTGGTTTTTATTTCATTTTCTGTCTTTATTTGAAAGTTTGTTTTTCGATTGCCAGATGAATTACATTTATACAAAAAAATTTATTTATGTGGCATATTCTTAGGGATTTTATTAAAAAATTAAATGGCAGCATGATTCTCTCAGGGCTCTCTTTGCACTTAGAGATTTAACTTAGAAATCAAAAATCTATAGTTCTCCAAATTTCTAAGTGATGTTGTTTTTTTGGGTAACTACATACACGCGCTGCTCATTTGCCAGATACACAATTTTCAAGTGAAGTCAAGTCTAACAGCCGGTTTCACCAAACTATTTAAGTGGAAATTAACTTTAACTTAATTTTGTATTTAATTCTCATTTAAATAATTTTCAGTTTCAATAAACTATTTATTTAAGTGAGTAAAAAGTGGTTGTAAAACAAACTACGACTAGCTTTCGCTTTCATTTGTACTGAGAGCTTTTGAAAGCTTTGGCACGCTGTGTTGTAAAAGCAGGGCTGGTATACAAGTAAGCAGCAGTTACACAATGATCAGGTGATTAAACGTGTAACACCTCTGAATGTGGTTATTCTGATTTAACTTTTATTTAAGTGCAGAGCATAGGTCACTTAAATCAAAATTAAAATTGATTGGTGAAACCGAAAATTCGAAAATTAAAGTTAATTTCCACTTAAATAGTTTGGTGAAACTGGCTGTTAGTCTTAGAAAACGTCATAAAATTGTATGGGCTATAAAACTGCATACCCAGAAATGCTCTTAAAATGTTTAGGTTAAAAAGCTTGAAATTTTAATGCAAATATTTTAAATTTTCCTAAATATTACACAAAATTTTAAACCTTTATTTATATGGTTTTTGTTAAACCTTGGACAATAATTTTATAGAATAATATTCAAAACAAATAATTTTTAAGCAATAATCACAACCGACTTCAATTCTCATATAAAAATTTAAGATTATAATTAATCTCTTCATGATCCAATGATCGGATTTAAAAATCGGAAAAAAAATCAACACGTGGTCATTTGTTTGAGTCACTGTGTGTAATTGCATTTGCATGAACTTGCTGCTTACTTGTTTTGCTGTGAGCGCAAATTTAATCCCTAATTAAGCTGTCTCGTGCACAGTGCTTACATGTATGTACATTAGGGTGGCCCTTAAAAAATATTAACAACTAAATTTTGTATGAGGCAACCCTTTATTTTGTTCTACGTACAACACGAAAACATCTACGAAAAAAAATTTAATTAGGGGAATGAAAAATGTTTATTTTTTAAACGCAAAAATTCGACAAAATCTTGTCTTGAAATCTGATAAATTTTACATATAATTTAAACTTTTTCATACAAATTGATAAACTGCTCAGTTATAGCTGGTCAAAGCAAATTTTTGGCGAATTTTTGCGTTGTTTTTAGAAAAGTTAAATTTTTTCAAACCCTGTTGGCGTCCTACAAACTTGTTTAACATTGAGAAATATTCGTGGATGTCTTGATTTTGCACATAAAATGAAATAAAGGGGTGCCCCATGATGTTGATAGTTTAAGGAACACTTTAATGCACATACACACTTAAATATACATATATACAAAACCGTGTGTACTTGTATGCATATTCGATTAAAAGGAAGCGAACATTTGCAAATGATCACTGTTTGCTTAATTAAATTATTTGGTTTGGGTTTATTTCATAATTATGTTCAGATTTTTATAGATACGGCGGCATATAGAATAACCAAAGAATATTCAGTGCTTATATACTCAGCACATCTGTGCTTGACTTTCACATTAGTTGCATAAATGCATAGGTATTAAGTATCAGTATATTTGATTTTCATATGCATTTCATTTGGCAGGTCATAAAAATGTTGATTGTCGTTGTGATTGTATTCGGCATTTGCTGGCTGCCGCTACAGGTTTACAATATGCTATATGTAACCATACCGGAAATCAACGAATATCACTTCATCAGCATAATTTGGTTCTGCTGTGATTGGCTGGCGATGAGCAACAGTTGCTACAATCCCTTCATCTATGGCATATATAATGTGAGTAATACACAAACTAATAGTATTAAAATTTATTTTGGTTGCAACTTATGCGCCTGTGAAGTAGTTTATAGACTGTAAGATTATAGTATAAGAGAAAGTAAAATTTGATTTACTGCACGCAAAAGGTCGTGAAATTGCAGTCATCTTAGAAAAGAGACTACGCGTAGGTGGTTTTTTCTAAAGTAATCCATTGCCATTTAATGATTTCAATCAAAAGATGCTTGAGCGTTTGTACTTCTTCTTATTTCTTAGAATATTTCAAATCCATAATTCCAACCAGAAGACATCTTTTTGCTTTTGTTGAAAAAAAAAATTCAATATGAAAATTCTTGAGATGTTTCATGATAAAGTACTATGTCTACTCTTTAAGTTCATTAGAATTATCTATAGCTTTTGTAGTTAATAATAGGAAGGACTGCTCTGCGATGAAGAAACCAGCTTTCGACACCGTCGGTCAATTCACGCTACTAGAGAATATCCTTACCACAGAGAATGAAACGGTGATCAGCAAATGACCTAAGTGGTTGACAGTTGTCATTAATGTTTTGAGATCAACCTTTGAAGGTAAGAATAATTAAGCTGGGGTTCACAACATCTCCCCACTATTGCCCAATTTACAAATCCCGAAGCATAATCTGGCCTCAGGAGGAGTTTCACTAATCTCATACGCTATAACTTGCTCGTTGTTGGCGTCGATAAATCATACTGGTGACGTGTGTTTGACCTGTGTTTAAAAGTCGTTAATAGATAATAAAATGGACCAAGTTAACCTATAATTAGTAATCAACCTCCACGGAAAGTTTTAATGGTTACAAAAATAACATTGCATAGCATTGCTATTCTCCCCCGTTCACACAACTGCAGTTGTAAGTAAATGCAAGAGCGTTGATCTTCTTCTTATTTGGCACAACAACCATTTGTCGTTCTGGGCCGGAACCTAAAAACGTCTCCAATAGCCTCTCTGCTGTGCGGAATTTGCGCCAATTACTCATCCCGAGTGCAAACAGGTCCTTCTGCACTTGGTCCTTCCATTTTGTTCGTTCGCGCACTTGATTTCGTTGCCCACCCATAGCTGCGGAGTCGAAAAATCATGTCACCGGAGCGTCATCAGCCATGCGTACAACATATCCAAGCCAGCGAAATCGCTGCATTTTTATGCGCTTAACTATGTCCATGTCGTTAAAGAGCTCATCTTTACTTATACCCATCGTCCACGCGAACAGGGCCGTAGATCTTGTGTGGAGTAGTTCTCTCGAAAGCACCCAAAGCCTTCTCTTCGGCCACGTTTCTGCGTCATATAGAGGAACGGGCATGACGAGAGACTTGTAGACTGTAATGTTTGTTCTTCGAGAGAGGACTCTGTTTTTTAAGTGGTAACCGAGCTCGAAGTATCACATGTTGGCAACAGTTCTTCTTCGCTTGATCTCCAGGCTGACGGTGTTAGTGGTGTTTATGCTGGATCCTAGGAAGACAAAGTCCTTCACTACTTCAAAGTTATAGCTGCCAACAGTGAAGTGTGTTTCTAAACGCGTCGACTCTTTATATGTTGCCAGGTGGTAGTACTTTGTCTTGCCTTCATTCACAGCTAGACCAACCTCTTAAGCTTCGTTTTCTAAACTGGAAAATGATGCGTATACGTCCCTTTGTTTCAGACCGACTATGTCGATATCATCTGCATATGCCAGCAACATCTTTATTTTGCTTTACAAGACGTCGCTCAGATTGGCATTTTTTCAGCCTTATATTAAAAAATTGCATTAAAAAGGCCTTCATATCACCAGCGAATAGTGGGTCGCAGTTAAGCAAACGAAGTTACAGACTTGTAAAGCCTTCTGACGTCGTCTCAACCCTATATACATATCGTAGTCGCAAGTAGTTTCTACTTATTTGCTATCGCAGGGAGTAGCCGAACATATTTACTGGAAGTAGAACCACTTTTTAGGTACTTTGGAAACCATCTTTATGGAACCATGGTCATTATCCATACCTATATCGCACAATCACCAGAGCCGACGCTGAACAGACAGGCCGTCAGTGCTATTTATCCAGAGTAAATCAACACCTCAATCAACTCTTACTCCATGATTGGCGTCAACGGAGTTCAACTATGCGTTGACGTAGAGCTTCAACTTAGGTCTGAATGTAATATTGTGCATACAAAAATTCATAATAAAAAAAATACCGTCACCGCAATTCGCGAGAAGCAGCACAGCCTTCTGAGTCCGTGTAAGTGCTTGTTCCGCATGCGTGGTCTTTTATTAAGTTGCAGCACTGATATCGTTGTCAATATTAAATTGATTGACATTTAGATTAGTGTTTTATTGACGAGAAATTAAAGCTATTAGCTTATTTTGTATGTAAGACTTAGCCAACGTAACTATATTGGGTAAGTATTCCATAAAAAATAAGCTAATAGCTTAAATTTTTCGTCAAATAAAACACGCCTATTAATTAAATGCTTAATTTAATCGCCCGGTGCCATAAACCAATTACAATGCTGAATATTATATACAAGCAGGACAGCGGCTGACTTTCTGATACAATATATACATCACGATAACACTTACACAGTAGCTATTTAGCGAGCTAACAGAAGTGCCACCATTTTCACATGTTGTGGCTTAAGTCACCTTGTGTGTATGAGTGCAGAGTCTCATGGCAGACTGGCATTGAGCGCAACATCGAACCACTGTTATTGCTGCATTTACCCGATAAGATACTTCCCAAGAACTGTTATATTTAGCTTTGGGTCACACAGGGAATAGACCACACGGTATGTGGTCCCTTGTTGCTCCAGACTCGACGGCTGCTCACAACTCACGCAAGGAGCCCGTACGGCTCCACAGGGCTCTCTTGAGTAACAAAACTTCCGCCTTTCCAACTTTCTTCCCCTTCCTCCACCTCACATGAGCACTAACCTATAGCTATTGGTACCTCAACGTCTGTTCGTGTCTCAGACCTGGAGTGAACAAGTGATTACCTCGAATTTTGTTAGTTCTGCGACTGCAATGGACGCCCGAGACGCTGTTAACCCCTGACCATCAGGCAACGACTCCTACAACGGCATGCTCAAGAGGACAACAAGGTAAACGACATCACTTATGTATCACCCCCGGATTGTGACAAGCCCCTAAGGCAGCCAAACTACCATGAACTGTAGAGTAACATCGCTGATATAACCGTCTTTATATGTCGGCATGGAATGTATTGATACATGTGATCCAAGAAACGAACTTGTTTTCAACAGAATTGAGTTGCGTCGCACACACTATGTTCCGTCAAGATCACCATCGAGACAATAGTACCGGATTAGCATTCACCACAAACCACGCCGTGTTCTATCATCTCGGAATGTCACGGTTTTGATATCCAGCCGGGCGATGTCGAGCTCGAAATATGTAACGAACATTCATTAGGGTGTCCATCGAAAATGTTTTTTTTTTGGAAATTTCAAGACCCTATCCCCTAATTTTATTTGTTTTTATGAGAAATATTATCGCCTATTTTTACAGAAATTTTAAAGGTTATTTAGAGCTCGCGACTTGCCGATTTAGGTCAGAAAATACGATTTTGTAGATTTATGAGTTTTTGAATGACTTTTTTTTAATCGATTGCAAAGATCGAATATGATCTGAGAAGAGGATAGACCCTTAAAATGGTATATAATAATTTATTGTCGGACTCGGCTTGTTTCTCTTAATTTTTTAAATTTTGACCATCGATAATTTCCACAATTTCAAATTTCAATTTTCAAATAGAGTTCAAATGGAAATGATAAAGGGAAAACGTCCTCTGATTGCAAATTTTGTACATACACATTTTTCCAAAGAAATGTAGAAATCTAATTTCAATCCCGCTGACTTCTATTAACACAGCTCAATATAAATTTCATTTCAGGAAAAATTCAAGCGAGAATTCAATAAGCGTTTTTCTGCCTGCTTTTGCAAATTTCGCACCAACTTGACTGCACATGAGCGTACGCTCTCCATGCATACACGTGCCACATCGATACGTTCGAACTTTGCCAATTCGTCGATGCGTATACGCAACAATTTATATGCAGAAGCTGCAGTTGGTGGCGGTGGCGGCAGTGGCGGCGGCGGCGGCGGCGGTTGTGGAAATATTTACTACACATATCGTTACGCAAACTTGCGCAAGGACAGAAGCAACGGCAACAATGACACTTACAACATGATAACTTACACAATTGAGAATGGGGGAACAGTGCGTTTGAATGAGTGCAATAGTAATAATAATGGCATGGCGGCAGGCAGAAATACGAGCAGCGGTTGCACGGAAGTACCACAATGGCGGCGAAATAACTTCAGACCGCTATATCCTGATGTGATTGAATGCGATGATGACTTAGATACGCTGATGCAATCTACACCAACATCCGAAGAGCCAAATTCCAGTTCACGTGGCAGTAATGGAGCCGGCGGTGTAACGGGTGGTCCTGGTTTTGCGCTGACAACGAAAGGGAAAAGTAAGCATACAACAATTCATACAAGACAAAAGCTTAGCGATTTTTAGAGTATTATATGTTTGTATGTATATAAAAACGTTTGTTTGTGTGTTTCTTTGCTTTCCAATTTCTAGGATAGCTGGGCATTGTAACTCGGTGACAGAGCTATATAAATTCCATATCATATGGTAACCTGGAAATTGAAACAAGCCAGTGAGCAGCACATGCGCCGATTGCGAAAGGCTGTGAAAAGCGAATGGGCGTCGTCGCGGTCGACGGAAGCGCTGAAGATACTACTGGAGGTTCAAACATACACACATATGTATGTAGATGTATGTACATACATATGTGCGAAGTATTTGCTGTACCAGCTGGAAAATTGGTTCCTGGAAGTGTGCTGGTTTTGACAATATGCAATTATTTCAACAAATCGCATTTGCATGGCGCAGTTGGCGTTATTCAAGCAATAAAATTAAAAAGTTTGTATGATTTTTAGTGCACGTTTTGGTTTGGTGAATTTAGCGATAACTGTTTGAATTTCGATTTGCAGAAATATTATATCGTTAAGAAACCTTATGGTTTTCTACCCGCGAGCCAAATGTCATTTGGGGGTTTTCAAGAATGAAATTTAAAAATGAAATAAAATGAAAAAATAAGTAAAAACAAAAAAAATATATAAAAACAAATTTAAATGAAATAAATTGAAATAAAAGAAAGCAAAACGAAATGAAACTATGAAGCTTAGATAATAATAAAAATGCTAAAACTCAAAGTGTTGTTTACGAATTTTTATAAATGCATATATGTATGTATCTTTTTATGCTAATTTATGTGGATATTTGCTATTTTAAAAATATGCCAACTATTCGATGTGATACCGACAATTTGAAATTTAAAAAATAATAAAAAAAAAATAAAATATGAAATTTAAAAATTTCTTTTTTTATTCGAAAGCACAATGTAAGTAAATTTTATCCTATTCAAATACATCAGCCGGTGGTTAAAACTAGAGCAGGGCATGACTCGGAGGTTCTAAAAATACCAGAGTATCGAGCATTTGAGGCCATAATTCACGCCAAGGCCAAACTGAAAACGGCTGATAGAGTTTTTAACCCTGAACGTCTTTTGTTAGTCCATTCGAAGTCATTAACCTTTTATTGATGACATGTAACAGAGAAAAAAATATGTATTTAAAATTTTGTTAATGTGTTTTGAAAAATTAAAAATAACTAGTGAACCCGCATGGCGTTCACACGCCAAAAATTGAATTTCAAAAACTTAAAAAATATTCCAAATGTTAGTCAGAGTTATAATAGATCGCATAGTGCATATTTTTATTTTGATCGAATTTCAAATCACCCTATACCAATGAAAAGAGTTCTTAACTAAAAAAATAAAACATTATCATACATCTACAGGCTAAAGCTTCTAATTTGGCCTCTCATTTTTGAGATTCCTTTTCAAAAGTATTCTCAAATTAAAATTTTCTTAACACGTGGTAACTCTCTTGAAACATTCGAAATCTTTACACTAAAGATTTCTTAGTATTATTTCGTTTGACTGCAATGTCTTTATATTTCAAATACTTTTTGAATTAGTTAATTGTGTTAGACCTTTCAAACAGGTGGCAGCCCTATTCCAAAGTACTTTCAAGCTTAATCATTGTTAACTCTTCTTCGCCGGACACTGCGATACATATTTTATTTAACTGATGAATTATGTGGAATTTCAATTTTCAAACATGTGGCAACCCCGCAAAATCTAGTTCAGAAATAAACATTTTTCAAACCCCCTTCGATTGATATCCATATTTTAATAATTCATTTAACTTATAAAATATTTTGAATTTAACTTTTTAAACAGATGGCGACCCTCCTCCAACACCTAAAAAATATTCTTAAAGTTCAAACTAAAGATTTCTTAACACTCCTTCGTTTGACATCCATATTTTGATATTTCGTGTAACTTGTGTATAAGTAAACTGAATTCGACATTTCTAGCAGGTGGAAATCCTCCTAAAACTTCAGCTAAGAAACAAATTTAATAATTTATGTAAGCTTTGTATTTTTGAATAAAACTGAGTTATTTAAAGCCCTGAAGTTTAGCCTATCACATAAATGTGACCCTTGTCTATACCGAAAAATGTCTCTATAGACCAGCGTCACAAATATGTGTCAGGCGTAAAACAATTACTTTTATTATGAATTTGAGTTGCTGAGATACCCAATGACAACCGAAACACACAACACTAGACAAAAACAAATAAAATTCTACCTGGTCTGTGATGATGCACTGCTTAAATATGCTTGGTAGCGAACGTGTTAACTGCAAACAACTAAAAATAAAGATACTTCTCTGTGAGTTCAAAATTTCAGAAATTTGCTTTTCGAGATTTTCGAATATCATGACGAAAAAAAATTGGTATCTTCTTTTTTTCGATAAAGAATGTAAAAAAAAATATTTCACCCCGAAAAAAATTTTATTCAAATTTTGTTAATAATTTTTTTTTTGCTTTTCTTAACTTAATTTTCTTTTAAGTTTTAGTTTGTTGTTTTAAATAGAAACAATTTTTTTTTTATTGTATGAAATTTTTAATAATGTGATTTCTAAGGCTACAGAATAACGTTTGACTGTGGTGAGTTAAAAGACAGTTGCCAGAACTACTCTGTTAGAATTATTTAATTATTTAATATAATGGGTCGTATGCATAAAATCTAAGCAATTGCTTTTACTCAAAATTTCATGCATTTCACTCAAATTTTTTTTGACCAAATCGACTAAAATGTCAGAAATTTTAAGAAAAAGCATTTGCTTCGGTATTATGCATACTGCCTAATGCACGTACAGTATATTTTGCTTTGCTGCCTCTATGCTTAAGTGCACATTTAAGATACCTACCCTAAAATGCGCATCAGAGGCATTATTTTTAACATTTATAAGGAAACTGCTCCGATAGATGCATTTAGCATACCTGCACATTGGCGATACCTGCCTTAAAAATTGTGCGACTAGTATCAATTATCAAAAAAAGTATTACGTTTACCTGTACTGGCCCTACAATTACCTAATTTTACAACTTTTTATTTATTTTGTTCATTTCGCAGAACAACGAAAATGGCTATAAATTTATGTAGTTAAAAAAAAAAAAAAAATAAAAAATTCGCTTGCAGTAATTTCTACGAGGTAAGTGCATCTCCATTATTTGGTTTCATAGGGATTTGGATACCTTCCTCATTGAAGTAATAAAAAAAATTCGCTTAAGTGCCTTTTTCGGTTAAGTGCACAAGTTTTTCGTGCAAGGAAGGATGTGCAGCTAAGCAAAATATACTGTATATCAATTCACCTAACAACATAAATAGTTCGTCAAGTAGACGGCCCAGAGATATAGACACATATCTTTTGGTATGCTGATGGATTTCAAAATCACCTTAAGTCAATATTGACGATTGTGTGAAATTTCATGGGTAGTTTAATCTGTAGCCCTAAGAGCAATGTTTTTTTTTACAATTTACAGATGTAACTATTTATTTGTAAATCTTATTATACCGGCTATTAATTTAAAATCTTTAGCAATAATTCAAGCCAGCGCTGCCAATAAATATTCTGAATGTCCTGCAAAGTATTAAAGTTCCCACAAAATTGCTTTCGCACGCATTATTTTGAGATTTACAGCACGTTAGTCGTTGAAATATGAGCTAAAGTAGAAAATAGCAAACAAATGTGGGCACAAAAACATCTGCATATATTTATTACATGCGTTATATGATTGTGCGACTCGCTGGTATGAAGCGAATATTAGCGAAAATTCCAAAAAAAAGAATTCCTTTTGCGATATGTAAAAGTAAAAATGCACATAGTACTTCAAAACGTAAGAAGCTGCGTAGAATTTAGCAATGAGTGCCGTACAGCAAAATTAAGAGACCTAAGATTATTTTTGAGCGGCCCCTTTTACAGCTTTAAGACGTTGTTAGGCATAGCAAAGGCTTTAAAGTGGAATCTTCTGACATAAAATACTTGTATGTACGGTGGCGAAAATAAAAATAGGGAAGAGACATTTTAGTAAGATTTGGCTTTTTTCTTTGTTTATTATTGTTTATTTTTATAATTTTCTTAATGAAAATATATCTTACTAGTTAATCAAAATTTCAAACTTTGTAGACCATTTATAAATATTCGACGAATTTCAACAAATCTTCATCAAATTTGAAATTTCTAATCAGATTTTTTTTTTGAATTTTTTCGAGTGTGCAGTTTTGTGGCCAATTCAACTTTAGTGCAATAAAGTTTGAAGTAGCTAGGATTTACCGTAGATTTTTGGCAATTTTTTGTTCACGCATTTTCC